CACAGGACGTCATTGGGCAGCAAAATCTCGGCCTAGGCACCCGTTATAACAATATGCATTGCAGAAAGGTGTCTTGTGGACCATTCCAGTGAACAAAATGAACCACTCAACATTTGCCGTGGAGTTCTAATCAAAAGAACAGCTTTCCGATCCTTGCTACCGTGTATTTTTCATATTTCCTTCTCCCTCCTTTCGATGCTTTAGGAAACTTGCAGATGGGCTCTTCCTGGACACTTGCCACACTGTTTCAAAACTCTACCCGGGAATCCAATTCGAGTCCATGATTGTGGACAACTGTTGTATGCAATTAGTCAGTCGACCCACGCAGTTTGATGTGATGGTCATGCCCAATCTCTATGGATCAATCATTGAAAATTTGGGTGCTGGTATTGTCGGTGGCGCCGGACTCGTACCGGGCGTTCTTTTCAGTCATGATGTAAGTCTTGTTATGTGCCTTGCATACATGTCCGTTGACCCGGCTGCCAGGGTCACCACCATGTACTAACGTAAACTTTGGGAAATGCATGTTTGCCTATCGTTTGCGGGACCCATTCGTCCCGTTCTGCCTTGGGGCTCACCCTCGAGCCCAGCCGGCAGCCTTACAGTGGCCCGTAGTGTAGGCAGAAGACAATTACTCAGAAAGACAAAAAAGAGTAGAATGACCAATTCTGGCTGGTTAGTCATCATCAGCCAGCCAAATCCAACCTCAGATGGTGAGCGTGCACCAACCGAGGTTAATAATCCCGATCAAAACTGGCTAAACAACGAGGTGGGAGCTCGAGCCTCGGGTGATGCACCACATGTAAGTGACTATGGCTGGCTGATGTGGGTTAACAAGTCTTTCTGGTCTTTGTCGGTAATGTTCTTCAAAGTTAACTGTCTTCCACAGCGAGAACAAGGACACTGTTTTGGTCGCACTTTACATTTACGAAATACTCTCGAGACTACCCAGATCACTTTGCCACCTGTGCGCAATCAGTATGCTAGTTTGCAACGAAATGCTGGTTTTTGAGTGACCAATACAATTCTTTAAAACTACGCCCGCTGACTACCCCTCACTTAGACCTAGTACTAGCCTACTTAGTATGGTTAAATTAACACTAGCATCTCCTACATTTAAGCTGTAGATTAGGACCGTTACGTTTGGTGTTCTATGGTCCGAAAAAGCAAGGATAATGCGAATCTTTATGCATAAACCACAGATCAGCGAAATCGGGACATCTGATTCTGGGTTTTTACTGCTTCAAACTGCCAGTAACAGCTGTCGTCTTCGAAGG